AACCAAGGATCAGTAGCAATGTCACTATGGAGTAAGGAGACCCTGAATTTGGATGTCTTAATGACAGTTGTTAGCGACATCTTAGAGAAGAGGTTGAAGAGAATTTGTTGACTGACCAGACTTGGAATGAAGAGGAGGGAAGAATCTGAGATGAAACGATTTATGGCTTAGTCACTAAAAAGCTCATGATGGGATTCTGTGCTGGGAAACAGAAAAAAGGTTTGAAAAGGAATGCACTGGGTTCAGATCTGGACAGCCTAAATTTGAAAAGCTACTCAAATGGCAAGTCTAGCAGGCAGTTGGAAATAGCTGTTTAAAGTGTTCTGAGAGGAGTCAGGATAGTCCCTCACGCAGGAGGTGTGGGAGTGGGGAGAGAAGGCCAGGGAGAGACTTCCAGAGTGTCCTATGAGCCTAGGGAGGAGAGTCAAGAACTGATGCTAGGCGCCAGTCAGGGTCACAGTCAGAGCAAGGTCGCTCTGGCCTCCAGACTTGTGACTCCGTCCTAGCCTTGTTCATGCCGTAGCTCAGGCCCAGGCTGGACTCTAGAACAGAACAAAAGTCACACTGCGCTTCTGGAGACAGATCTGTGGGGCTGTGAACACACTAAGCAGATCATAAGGAACAGGATTTCCACAGTCTGGGTCTCGTGTCCACTGCGGTGGGAAACCCGAATTCAGGGCTAAGGCATGGGCACTCCAAGTAGCGTTGAGGTGAGTTGCCCAGTGTGGATATGGACCCTCGTAGCTGTGATCACTTCCATTAAAACAGAGAAATTCCCGGTGTCCCATTTCCCTGTTCAGTTCTAAACAAAACTTTTCAAGAGCGTCTCTGTATTGATGTTTCCATCTTGTCATCTCCCCGTCTCCTCTGTGTGCTCCATGGTGGCTTTCTTCCTCATATTCCCAAAAAGCATGGCCACTAAATTCCAGTCAGTCTCCACTTGGGCACAGGCAGGGTTAAGTTTCTGGTCCTCAGCTTGTTTCTAGAGTTGCTCGCTCACTCCTCCCTGCAGTACTTTCTTCCTTTGGCTTTTGGAGCACCGTGTTCTGATTTTCCTCCCTTTCTTGACCTCTGATGTGGCCATGCCTAAGTGAGTGTTCGTGCTTCAGCTTTAAATAAAATGTACCTACTAAGAACTCCCAGATAGCTCACTGTAGCTCCGACCTCGTCCCTGATCTCCAGAGTACATACAACTGACAGTCTCAGTGTCCTCCTTGAGGGTCTAGACATAAAGGCACCTCAGCCGCAACAAACATGTCGGAAACCGAATGCACCCCCAGACCTGCCCCTTTTCTGCCCTTCTGTTCTCAGTGGCTTGTGCAGCATTCATCATTTTCAGGCCGGAAACCTAGGAGTGATCTCTCTTTTTTTTTTTTTTTTTGAAGATTTTATTTATTTATTTGACAGAGAGATAGAGAGCACAAGTAGGCAGAGAGGCAGGCAGAGGGAGAGGGAGAAGCAGACTCTCCACTGAGCAGGGAGCCCGACGCGGGGCTCGATCCCAGGACCCTGGGATCATGACCTGAGCTGAAGGCAGCCGCTCAACCGACTGAGCCACCCAGGCGCCCCTAGGAGTGATCTCTTAACTGCTTTATTCCTGCTCAGTGCCCCACACCGTCTGCCAGCAAGCCGGGTCATGTTATCACCTCCTTAATAGGACATCCGGCTGCATGGTCTGTGCCTCCACCCCCTCGCTCAGCCGGATAACTCCAGCAGCCGCCTGAGTGCTTGCTCCCCTCCCTGCGTCCACTTGGGCCTCGCCGGACCGTTGTCTACATGGTGGCCCACCTGAGTGAGCATGTCCTTTCCCTCTGGCTTCCCTTCGTGCTTAGAATAAAATTCCAGGGGTGCCTGGGGGGCTCAGTCGGGTGAGCATCTGACTCTTGATTTCAGCTCAGGTCATGATCTCAGGGTCATGGGATTGAGCCCTGCCTCTCTCCCTCTGCACCCCCTCCCCACCCCCACTTGCGTGCATGCTCTCTCTCAAATAAATAAACCTTTTTTTAAAAAAAAGAACGGAATTCCAAACTCCTCACCACGAGGCCTTACCTGATTTGCCCCTTCCTGGTGCTCCAGTCTTACTTAGCGTTATCCCTCTTGCTGTGTACCCACACAGCCTCTTTGCAGTTCCTCAGAAGTCACCCCACTTCTGTGTTTGCTGTTTCCTTTGCCTGGGAAGCTCTTTCTTCACATATCCATACAGCTTTCATTTACTTACTGTTTGTCACTTCATCCCCTCTCCCCCAGCGTGCGTGCACACACACACACACACACACACACACCCCAAAGTATAAGCTCCTGAAAGGCCGGAACTCTGTCTCAGTCATGACATTATCTATATTCCTGAGAATAGCTAGTCCATAATAGGCACTTACTAAATATTTGTGAATGGAAAGGACATCTCCACCATATGCAAAACTAAGGAGCACCTGAGTGGCTCCATGGTTTAAGCATCCCAACTCTTGATCTCAGGGTCGTGAGTTCAAGCCCCACGTTGGGTTTCTTGTTGGGCATAGAGCCTACTTAAAAAAAAAAAAAGGGAGTGCCCCAGAAACTGCATGGAGTTTTACATACCTGGCAAAAAGCCAGGGAAGGGAGAGGAGAACAGAGATGGACAGAGGTAAGATCATGAAACACCTGGTTCACTGCGTTAAGTACACTGGCCCTCATATATGAATTATTGAAGATAAATTTGGGAGATCTTAAGGAAGTTTGCAGCATGCTAAGATGTGGATTTTAAAAAGATTGCTCAGGTTGCAGTGTGGAGACTAAATTAGTAGAGAGCAAGACTTGAGGCCAGGAGAGTAGTGAGGAGACTATGGTACAAACAGTGAAGCATGAGAAACAAAATACCACGAAGGCATCTGGCCCAGTGCTCAGGGCTTTACTCTTAAGTTAGCAAGACTTCGTTGGGGAAGGAACAAGGAAGGTGTTGGGCAGAAAGTAAAACACTCCTTTCCCTTAAAATAAGTAGTAAAGACATTGGGGCACCTGGGTGGCTCAGTCGGTTAAGCATCTGCCTTCGGCTCAGGTCATGATTCCAGGGTCCTGGGATTGAGCCCCGCATCGGGCTCCCTGCTCAGTGGGGATCCTGCCTCTCTCTCTCCTTCTGCCCCTCCCCCAGCTCATGCTCTTGCTTGCGCATGCTCTCTCTCTCTCAAATGAATAAATTAAAAAAAATAGTAAAGACATGAGTGCATGTAAAATGAGCCAAGGAGGGTGTAACAGAGTGGAGGGGAAAATTCCAAATTTTAAAGAGAGAAGAGAAAATGTTATTCAGGAAGGAGACCGAGAAGTAAAGCTGGTAGAAAAGAGAAAAGCAGAATTATGATCATTATGATCACCAAGCAGAAGTCGTACACGGGTGAGAAAGGGAACGTCTGATAGGAATCTCAGCCACAGTGAGGTGCAGAGGAACCCTTTAAATGGTTCTCCCCGGCCCAGGAGGACATGCCATGCACAGCCATTCCCTGGCAGAATTTCATAGTTTATGAAACTCTGAGCCGAAGGCAGACGCTTAACGACTGAGCCACCCAGGCGCCCCTCAATTCTGTTCTTTACCACTCTATCATGCTAGCCCTTTTTTACCTTTTTGTATTTGTGCCCATCTTGTTTACCTTTGACTCTTTTCCACACTGTCTGCATAGCCTCTTTTGCTTGATGTATTAGCAAGGCTGCCTTTCTGGCTTGCACCTTTCAGCTTCATGCCTACCTGCAGGACCTCTAGATTAACACCATAACTCGTTCCTGTTTGAACTGGCCCTGAATGTAACCACCCATACGATGATCTCCCATCACTCATGTAATGTCCTGTCCTGTAAGGCAACCTCAAAAGTTTGAATCATGTGCATTTGTGTGTGTGTGCATGTGCGTGTGTGTGCACATGTATGAAATAAGGAATTGAGACTATTTGACATTGTTCAAATTAGGAATATATAAGTAATTAAGGAAAATTAACAAAACATTTCATGTATAATTCAGGTGTCATCAGGAGGATCTGTAAATAGGGCAAGCTGATCTGCTTGCAGAGAATACTTATGGTAGAAAAGGAAAGTCTAATATATTTAGATGTACGTAGATGTGTAATTATATATATACAAAGGTATAGAATATGTATTTTAAATACTGTGGTAAGTGCTATAATAAGGGGAATGGACTGTAGAAATTCAGAGTCAAGAAAGGACTCCATTGAGACCCCTGGGTGGCTCAGATGGTTAAGTGTCTGCCTTCGGCTAAGGTCATGATCCCAGGGTCCTGGGATCAGGCCCCACATCAGGCTCTCTGCTCAGTGGGGAGTCTGTTTCTCCCTCTGCCTCTGTCATTCCCTCCACTTGTGCTCCCTGGCTCTGTCTCTATCAAATAAATAAAATCTTAAAAAAAAAAAAAAGAAAGGACTCCATTAACTTTTGAACTGTCTGAAGGATACAAAGGAATTGGGCATGAGGGAAAGTGGGGAAGACTTTACAGATTAGGAAGATTACACACAATGAAGAGAAATGTCATGAAAATAATTTCAGAGTCCAGGATGGCTTTGGACTGATCCAGGCTGCCTTTCCCAATTCGTGCTCCCCTGGTTGCTCTTAACACTCACCTTCTTTAAATAGGTTTGTTTTATTCTTCACCATAGTACTTCAGTTCCCATTATTTTTCTCTATTGCTTGAATCTTTTATGTTTTCCTCTTATAGTTGGCCAGATAAAGACCCTATTTAAATAAATTAGTACTTGGGATGCCTGGGTGGCTCAGTCCTTAAGCATCTGCCTTCAGATCAGGTCATGATCTCAGGGTCCTGGGATCGAGCCCCGCATCGGGCTCCCTGCTCGGTTGGAAGCCTGCTTCTCCCTCTCCCACTCCCCCTGCTTGTGTTCCCTCTCCCGCTGTGTCTCTCTCTGTCAAATAAATAAATAAATACCATCAATACTTAGTTTTTTCTCTACATTTAGTCTCAGTAGCCAGAAACCATATTACATGAAACATCTTTAGTTTTTTTTCCCCCTCCAGGATGGAAGAGCACTCACAAAACCACGAAGTCAACTCAGACGCAGGATTGTTCTTTTCAGGAGTTGATGATGAGAAGATCCAGAAGAAATGGACCCTGGGACTTTAAATCAGAAAAACCCTGCATTTATGAAGACAGATTAGAGAAAAAGCAGGAGAAAAAAGAAAGTATTCAGACAGTTTCAGTTACCCACAAAAAAATCCTCATTGTAGAAAGAAGCCATAAAAATAATGAATTTGGCCAAAACTTTAGCCCAAAGTCGGTCCTTGTTAGGCAACAGATGGTTCCCAGAGAAAAAACACCACCAAAATGTGAAATACAAGGAAACAGCTTCAAACAGAATCCATATTTGCTTAATCAACGAAAAATCAACACCGCAGAGAAACGCTATAAATGTAGCATTTGTGAAAAAACCTTCATTAACACTTCATCTCTTCGCAAACATGAGAAAAACCATAGCGGAGAGAAATTATTTAAATGTAAAGAATGTTCAAAAGCCTTCAACCAAAGTTCAGCTCTCATTCAGCATCAAATAACTCATACTGGAGAGAAGCCCTACGTATGTAAAGAATGTGGGAAAGCCTTCACTCTGAGTACATCCCTTTACAAACACCTAAGAACCCACACTGTGGAGAAATCCTATAGATGTAAAGAATGTGGTAAATCCTTCAGCAGAAGGTCTGGCCTTTTTATACATCAAAAAATCCACGCTGGAGAAAATCCCCATAGATACAATCCAGGTAGGAAGGCATCCAGCACTTCCCTTCCCGGATGTCAGAGAATTCATCTCAGAAAGAAGTCCTATTTATGTAATGAATGTGGCAACACCTTTAAGTCTAGCTCATCCCTTCGTTATCATCAGAGGATTCACACGGGAGAGAAACCTTTCAAGTGCAGTGAATGTGGGAGAGCCTTCAGTCAGAGTGCATCTCTTATCCAGCATGAAAGAATTCACACTGGAGAAAAGCCCTATCGATGTAACGAATGTGGAAAAGGTTTCACTTCTATTTCACGACTTAATAGACACCGGATAATTCATACCGGTGAGAAGTTTTATAATTGTAATGAATGTGGCAAAGCCTTAAGTTCTCACTCGACGCTTATCATTCATGAAAGAATTCACACTGGAGAGAAACCGTGTAAATGTAAAGTGTGTGGGAAAGCCTTCCGACAGAGTTCAGCTCTCATTCAACATCAGAGGATGCATACCGGGGAAAGACCCTATAAATGCAACGAGTGCGGGAAAACATTCAGGTGTAACTCATCCCTTAGTAATCATCAGAGAATTCACACAGGAGAGAAACCATATCGGTGTGAGGAATGCGGGATATCTTTCGGCCAAAGTTCAGCTCTTATTCAGCATCGGAGGATTCATACAGGAGAGAAGCCCTTTAAATGTAACACATGTGGGAAGACTTTCAGACAGAGCTCATCACGTATTGCCCATCAGAGAATTCATACTGGAGAGAAACCATATGAATGTACTACATGCGGGAAACTTTTCAATCACAGGTCATCTCTTACTAATCATTACAAAATTCATATCGAGGAGAACCCCTAGGAAGTAAATTTGCATGTGTGAAAGCCTTAAACCAAAGCTCATCAGAATATCCGAGAGTGATACAACAGAAGTAATGGGTAGGAAAAACCTTTCTGTGATGTAGGCCTCGTCAGATACCAGATTCCAAGGATAAACCTTGACTATGTAATAGATAATGAGGAAAGTAGGAAGTGTTCATGCCTGCCAGGCACTTTTGAAAATAACCTGAAATGAAGAATTCACAACTGGAGACACTGACTTTGGGCATTTGTAAAATAATTCTCTTCTAGAGCAGTGTACACGAGATACCTAAACATCTGGGTGAGGGGAGGTGTGCACTGGATTTCTCATTAAAAAGAAACTTATAAATTGGTAATACTTTTTTTTTTTTTTACAACTAACATTTAATAGCATATAAAAGATGTGATTGAATTCTACACTTTTAGAGAAAAGGACCAAATAAAAGATTAAAAACAACAACAAAAAAGAGCTGTGAACTACCTCTCCGTTTCTGGGGTTTGTCCTTTTCCTGACCTGATGTCAAATTCTGTGCATGGATTTCATTTAAAAATAGAAATAAAAGTCTGTTGTCTTCATCCTGTGTTCTTCTAGTAATTGCTATCGATTGGGAAGTTTCTAACCAATTGCTAATGCTGTTCTTGAATTTTGTTTGTTTATTTAGCTGTGAGGTCATTTATGAAGAAAGTATGCCAGCTGTGTACTGTGAGCTGTCATCCTGGGTACATTAAATGGGAAAAATAAGCAATTCTTTCAAGTGTAAAGCTATTAAATATCTATAAATTCACAATGGAAGGAGCTAGCAAAAGAAATTTAATGAATCTAATAGCTGTGCCAAAATACTGAAAGGTACATTGATTATTTTATGACCTAAGAAGTAGGATTTCCCTTACTTGGTGTTCTGTATCACACAACTTAAGGAAAATAAAAGGAACTATAAACAGTAATTTTTTTTAACCCTAGCTCTGGGGCAGGTACTATACTGCATACTGGGAGCCTTACGAAGAAAGACACAGCCCTTAGAGATGCCGTGCATTTGGGGAGAGGACAGAGTTGAGGAACTAGCAGTGAGGAAGCCAATTAATTTATCACAGTATGTAAGTGGCTTTAACAAGCAAATAGGTAAGTTAACGATAGTATGTTGCATTGCAAGAATGTTAGGGATTTGCGCAGCATGAATGAAGAGGAGATCAAGCCTAACCAAGAAAACCTGGAGACAAAGTTTCCAGAGGCAGTGTGGCTAAGCCAGGTTTTGGAAGAACAGCAACTCTGCAGAGGGTGAAATGACCGTTCTGAAGCAGAGACCACATGCGTGAAGGTACAGGTGGGTAGGCGGTCACGGCACCTTCGTGAAAATGCAAATACGGAACTAATGAGCAGGAGACGCTAAGTTGGAGTGGGACACAGACGCCAGATAACTCATGGCTTATTTGCCATGTGAAGAAGTTAGAATTTTATCCAAAATTGGTGAAGATTGTTCTGGCAACAATGTGTAGAAGATGGATTTAGGGGGTTGAAGAAAGCTGTACAGGTGGACGCCTAGAAATCTGGGCTATTGAAATTCAAGTGATACGTGAATGAGAGACCAGACTCCCACAGGACAGATGGATAGAGAACAGGAGACAGGTAAGGCATTGAGTAAATAAGACATGGTGTTCACAAGCAAGTAGATGAGGTTGGTGAGTGACGAGACTAAGATGACCCAAGTAGGGCGGCTAGATAGGCTGTCTATATAGGACAGGTCTCGTATTCAACGATTTTGTCCTGCATCCTGGATTGACTTTGGCAGGTTGCCCTTAGTGTAATCAGTTGTGGGGGCTTTTTTTCCCCCCAATAATGAAAACTCAGCAGTTAGAGTTCTTTTTGTGCTTCAGTAATTGGCACTTAGGTTACTTAGATGGCAACGCTAGCTGAAACCCATACCTCCACAAATAAAGATCTGAACAATACTTTTAAGTCTCCTGTGTTTTTGGCTGGGGGAAGACCACACGGGGGACTGCGAATTGCAGGTCTTGTTTTCCATCTTAAAAGAAGGCTAAGACTTCTTTTGGCCAAAGTCTCCAGTTGTAAACAAATGATCACTCTTAATTAGAGATAACTTCGGGTGAGTACCAGTGCTCTGAAAATCAGCACCAGCAGCCATGCTTCTGAAAGTGAGCAAGTTAATGATAGACCCCAGTTTCTGAAAGTCAACCAACTAGTAGACTATCTCATGCCTCTAGACAGTCGTTAGCAAATGTCTCACTCCAGTGACCACAGAAAGTATGCCTGTCAAGAACAACCTTATTCCAGTGATCACATGAACTCATTTGCAAGTCTTGTCAATCTATATAAACACCTACTTTTGAAAATCCACCAATCCCTACACCGAGCTTTCCAAAACCTTGTAGGAGATCAACTCTGGCTTTCTTTAGGGAGGATGTTCCTTGCAAATACAGCTTTCTCTTGCGGGCATACATGAAGTTTTCCTTTTCTGCATTACATATCAAGTTCAATTTGTTGCTAGTTTGCAACCATTTCAACAGCTCAACCCCTGTTTACTGTTATCACCTCAGCCACATGAGTGACAAATGTGCTGATGAGGCCATGAGATTATCCTATTCAATATTTTCCAATTTTTGTGATGATTGCTATTATCTGTGTTTTGTGTTTTTGAATCCTAAATGCAAGTATAAATTTCATTAATCCTCAGAACATTGGGTATCTATTAAATCAGGAAACGTCCTTTTGAAACTTACAGGGTTAAGAGTCTGACTCTTGATTTCAGCTCAGGTCATGATCTCAGGGTTGTCAGATGGAGCCCCACATCAGCAAGCACGCTAAGCCTGCTTAAGATTCTCTCTCTCCCTCTGCCCCTCCCCTCCACACACACACACTGCTCATGCTCTTTCTCACTCTCTAAAAAAAATAATTTTAAAAAATGAAACTTTCATAGTATGAAACTGTTCATTCAGTATCAAAATTAGTGGAAAGTCATAAACCAGCATATACTAAAAGCTAAACAAAGGTTTATAATTAACTATAAAGGGATAAAGTAACAAATTTTCTGATGAAATTCAGATAAAAATAATCATAGAGGTTGTAATGATTATCAACACTGTATCATCAATCTTTTTAGCACAAATGACTGATTGCATATACAAGGAGTTTTTTCTCATTCTAAAACTGCAAATGAATTTTCAAGTGTCAGCATAAAATACTGCAATAATGAAAATGTAATTGCTCTATTTACTCTTTCAGAGATTATTAAAGATCTAAAGATGCTTCATTTTGTTACAACATAGCCCAAGATGTAAGTAATCACAATGCAGGAAAAAAGTTCCTTTCCTTGTGCAATGTTTTTCTTGTGAAAAAGCCTTGCTTAAAAGGTATTGCAAGTAAAATCCCTTCCGGGTGAGACTTCAGAAATACAAAATTTTTGCAGAAACTCAGTAAGTTATGAGGAAAAGTGTACTGCTTTCGGTAGCGATAATACAGATGCAAATTTTGGATGTGCAAAAGTGCAGACAATTTATTCGAAGTTACAACAAAGTATAATGGATTCTATGGCAGACGGTGGTGGTTCTGCCCATACTCTGCATTTCTGCATAGTGCTGCGGACAACATCTGATATCCTTGCTACTGACACTGAAATAATTATTACAAAAATGTTGCAACATTTGAGCAGTTACAGGATTTTTGTGATTTTGCTTGCATTCAAGAATCCAGTTACTTAGCATTCAGAAACTTGTTTGGACTTCTGGTTTCAGCTATGACATGTAAACAACTTAAAATCATCACTTCTAACAAGAAAAAGCTGAAAATCACAAGCTGAAGATCAATAACTTATCTTCCTGGGAACTGAGGTTACTGGGCAAATTGCAACACTGATCTCGAGAGACAGACATATCCAGAAAGACAGCCCAGTTCTGCTTACATGGAGCAGAAGCTGCTGGAGCCATAAACATACAGGAACATTTAAATGATAGTTTTGGTGAATTGTTGGAGGTTGAGTGTGGGCTAGCCTGAGAATGAGAGGTCCCCCACATCTCCAATGCCATTAGCTCCCTCATGCTCAACATCACTCATCATCAGGGAAATACAAATCAAAACTACAATGTGGTATTGCTTCACACCAGTCAGAATGACTAGTATCAAAAAGGCAAGAAATAACACATGTTGGCAGGGATGTAGAGAAAAAGGAACCCTTATGCAGAGTTGATGGGAATGCGGATTGTTGCAAACATTGCAGAAAACAGTACAGAGTTTCCTCAAAAAATTAATAGAAATACCATACAATCCAGTAATTCTTTTTTTTTAAAGATTTTATTTATTAGAGGGGGAGAGAGAGAGCACAAGTGTGGGGCAGAGGCAGAGGGAGAAGACTCCCCACTGAGCAGGGAGCCCGATGTGGGGCTTGATCCCAGGACCCTGGGATCATGACCTGAGCTGAAGGCAGATGCTTAACCAACTGAGCCACCCAGGCGCCCCTAATCTAGTAATTCTACTACTGAGTATTTACCCAAAGAAAATGAAAATACTAATTCGAAAAGATATGTGCACCCTTGTGTTTGCTGCAGGATTATTTACAAGAGCCAAGTTGAATCCATTGACTCAAGAAGGACCAAGGGGGGTCGAATTTTGAAGAAGGGAACTTCTGAAAGGAAAAAGGAGGCCAAAAAAAAAAAATTGAGAAGACATCACTAAAGTACTAAAAGTGAATAATTGTCCTAGGATTCTATACTCTTTGGAATATATATATATATTTTTTAAAGATTTTATTTATTTGAGAAAGAGAATGAGATAGAGAGCATGAGAGGGGGAGGGTCAGAGGGAGAAGCAGACTCACTGCTGAGCAGGAAGCCCAATGCGGAACTCGATCCTGGGACTCCAGGATCATGACCTGAGCCGAAGGCAGTCGCTTAACCAACTGAGCCACCCAGGCACCCCTGGAATATATTTTAAATTAAAATAGTAAAGAATGGATATATGACAGGTGAGTACAAAGAAAATAGAATGAGAAGACCTATTCAGTTAATCCAAAAGAAAACACTTAAAAGTAACATAAGGGAGGAGTGGGGGGAAAAAAGGATTAGTATGAAGCCAGATATAAACCCCACAAGCCACCCAAATGGTGCTTTAGTTATGCTTCTCTAGTCGGGAGTGTCACAGCACTTTAACTGGTCCTAAGGGTTAACTTGCTTCAAGTTAGCACACTCCCTACTTGCTGACCTAAGTCCCTTGATCCCTAACAGACAGACCACTGGCCTTGAGGAGTGAAGGACCAGAACTTTCCCAGGCCACAGAGGCCGGCAAGTCTGTTTGAAGCCCACTCGGCTCTTTGATTAGCCTAGCAATTTTTTTAGCAAAATGTTTTTCTTTTTTGAGGTCACACAGATGATTTTACTAACCTCCATTTGTGCATTAGTAGGCCTCCCTGTCCTGTGCAGAAGGAACAGGGTACTCTACATACCAGGAAACAAGAACCAGAACCCGGAGCACAGCCCTAGCCCCACCCCAACACCAGCACTGGGAGAACATTGTAGTTAGCACCATCGTGTCTGCACATAATCAAGAAATGTTGCAAACCACTGCACTC